GCATTAAGAGTGACACTTGAGCAGACAAAATAGACATGGATTATTTTACTAATATGGTGAGTTCAAATTAGCTTGCATCAGATCAGCTTTAACTATAATGTTCATCGAGATTTTATTTATAGAATTTGGTCCGAACATTGTAGGCGCTATCAAAAAATGAAGTTAAAAAACATATGAGTAGTTTTAAGATCAATTGAAGGTTCTTTAATAAAATTCCTTGGAATATTATGGTGCATACCTTTAAGTCGAACAATAAATTTAACTGCAGTGCATTAACTATCTAATAATAATCCTTATACATATTATGAACCATCAGAGTAAAAATGGCAGTGGTGTATTTAGATTTTCATATATGTATGTATGTACTTACGCCGACATACGTACGTACGTACGAACAGTAGCCTCCGAAAGTTTGCCACAGTTACACAGAAAAACAACAAAATTTAACACAAATTGTATTATATAGTAAGCACTGCTCTTTTTCTATATATTTACCTACGTACGTGTGCAAATAAGATACAACGGGTCATTTTATGATTTTCTATGCAACCATGATAAATTTTATAAACTTTGAACAACACAATTCTGCATCATCCGCATAGATTTCCATAATTGGTTGTTTCCATGCAATTATTAACATTATACTAAATTACCTACTATAAACGGTAAGCGTTAAAATTTTAAAACCGCAATTCCTGTGCGCATATGAGTCAATATGCATCATTATGCGGGTTAAAATTTAATAGCCCAAAATTTTTGATAGTGGGAGAAGTTATTTGACAATACAATTGTCTGAAAGATTGAGGCGGAAGATTTATTTTTAACATTTGCTCATAACAATAGCAATATCAATAGCATCTTTGGTAGGTCCAGGCTAATAACTTGGATGATAATCTATTGGGTTTGATTTATATTCATTAAAATCTTGCAGAATCGTGCAGAATAGATCCTCATTAAATCAAAACAACCATATTAATTATTCGTCAGACCAATTAAAAAAATTAAATAGGGGATTAAAGGCCCTATTTCAGGGCCCAATATCCGCTGATCAACACATATGTGATGCAACTTTCTAATGGTTCATACAATTATTATTGTTAAACTTCTCTAGCGATAAATAAGAAACTACAACATCAAAAAAATATGTCTCTCAATTTCACCTATTCGAACACTTATAATGAAACATATCTTAATATTTTTACTGATATTAATAATTGCGACAGCTTTTAAATCCGTCGCGGTGAGCATCAATAAAAATCTTGTGATTCGTTCTGCAACACCAACCGGAGCTACAACATGGGACAATTGGAACGGACAAATACATGTCACTCCAAGTGCCATTTTTCAACCATCTACACTTAATGACCTTGTAGACATTGTGAAATTAGCAAAGCAGAATGGTAAAACTATTCGATGCGCTGCCCAAGGACACAGTGTAAGTAATCTATCTTTCACAGAGAACTACCTGGTGATAGTTACAGACTTAACTCAGGTCACCGTGCAAGAAGATCAAAAATATGGCTGGACTGTTACTGCTGAAGCGGGTAAGCGTTTTATACATAGATTCATTCATGATAAATATTACATGAGAATGAATTATTTAATTAAAAAATAGGTACACAATTATTGAAACTTGATGATGTACTCCGAAATCATAATCCACCATTAACTCTCGATTCGGAGACTGTATATGACACATTTCGAGTATCTGGTGTTGTTGCAGTAGGTGCACATGGAGCAAAGACAAGTTCAGGCATTATGTCAGATCAACTTTGTTCGATGAAAATTGTTACTGCTTCCGGTGATATAGTTGAATTTAGTGAAGAAATAAATAAATCAGAATTCAATGCTGCAAAAGTCAACCTAGGTAATTATGAGCTTATGCTTTTAATAATTCACTTTTCTTTATTTAACTTTATAATTGCTTAGGTTTACTTGGTATAATCTATTCGTTAACTTTCCGTGTACAACCGATGTACAACCTTCGTATGACTGATACCCTTTATCTATCAAACGAATGGCTTAAGCCACAAAATATTAAAAATCTTTTAGAATCTTCTGATGGAATTGAAATATTTTATTGGCCATTCAATGGATTTAATCCGAAAGTTTCAAATTCTCTTGACCCTAATCGAGATCTAATTTGGGTTAAGAATTGGGTACGAACTAATGATTCTGTAACACTTCCTCCACAAGTGCTTGAACAATTACGTCAAACCGAAACAGGAGAAATTAATCAACAGTATCTGACTATAACTAATTACCTAATATCTAATCCTTCGTTAACTCCGAGTATAACCGCTACGATATGGAATGCAGGTACTGGTGGTGTTGGTAATACTAGTATGGTAGTGCAGGCTCCTGATGCTTTCCATTACGTACCTGCCGTAGAAGCTCTTAAAGTTAATCTATGGGAAATTGGATTCAAAGTTGATCCGGATTTTTCCAATGTCGTCACTGAAATTTCTTTCATAATTCAAAAAGTGAGTTATATTATTATATCTAATTTTGTTAATTTACCTTTGTTGCTCTTTTGAATAACATTATTATATATTTGTAGTTATATGAATTGGCAGAAAAAGGAAAATTTCCAATAAATTATATTGCAGATTTTAGAATCATAAAATCAACTGAAGCTTTATTTTCGACTACTTTTAATAATGATAAAAACGCATTGTATTGTCAAATGGATCTCGAAACAGCCTATGGTAATCCTGACTGGGAAGAATTTATACAATCATTAGGTCCAAGATATTTTAATAAAAAGTATAATGCAAAGTAAGACTGTTATTAATTTTTTCCTTTATAACTATTTGATTAATTTACTTATTATTATATATCATATAAACTCTCTTACTAAAGGCCTCATTGGGGAAAAGAATGGGAAACTACTCCAGGCATTACATCTTATCTTTCTGATGTCTTATCTGCACAAATTAAACAATTTGAGAAAGTACGCTCAAAGTATGACCCTGATAAAATGTTTTTCGATAACAAGTCATTGCAGGATATATTTAAT